AACGGACTTTTGCCTTCTCATTGCCCTCTGACCACTGACCGTATTGGATTTACCGAATCTCTACTCATTTCCTTGAAACCGGACTGTTTCTGTCAAACATCCTTTGGACTCAATCTATTCAGTTCCATGGAGGACAACTCCCATCAATCTTAAGTATACAATTTACTGCTATCTCTGAAGGCTTACTTATTAATGAACTTTTACTTGCTTGCTATAACCTGCATTCACTAAAATATTATTGCAATCATTAAAGCCTTTCCTTTTCCACTAACTGCCTGCAAACTCCACCTTGCTTTAAAGCTACAGTAACCTTATTAATTTAAAGGATTTCTTCTCTTCTTGCTAATGTAATTAAGGAGTTTTACAAGCTGCAGTTGAGTTCCAAATTCAAAACCTCTTGTGACATAACAGAATCACCAAGCCTTAAACATGGAACCAGCAGATGTGAATTCCCAAATTATCTCTTTAACCCATAGAGTAGACATGCTCAAGGCAAGCAGGATTTGCAAATTGCTAATGAGAGACTTCTTTCTTATATTAGAGAAATGCAAAACAAGGTTACTCATTCTTCAAGTGACCCTGCTGTCTGCAGCCCACAGAAGTTTTTTGGAGATCGTTCTAAATATAGAGAATTTCTGAATTCTTGTAAATTATTGTTTACGCTTAAACCCAGGTCATAACCCACTGACAGAATTAAAGTCTGTTCAATAATATCCTACCTAAGGTAATATCCTACCATTTCTGGATTCATTAGATGATTTTATTGAGGCAATGTCACTTCTCTATGAGGACCCAAATAAACAAGCTACTGCTGATCTTACTATTAGATCTCTACAGCAAAGAAATCGACCTGTAGAAGATTATATAGCTGAGTTCAAACGATGGGCTTTGGAAACCCAATGGAATGATATAGCTCTGCGCAATCAGTTCCATTTAGGATTATCTGAAACAGTTAAAGATGAATTACCTATAACCACTCTCCCTCCAACGCTTGATACATTAATTCAACTCTATCAGTATAGACAGAAGAATCAGAGAACGTAAAGCAGAGAAAGCACTCACTAATTCACTTTGGAAAAAACCCAGCCCTCCCATACGAATTCCTAATAAACCTCTGCAACCAATTGAACCTATGGAAATTGGGTTTACTAGGGAACCTCTGTCTATTGAAGAAAAAACAAGAAGGAGAGAATTAAATCTCTGCATGTATTGTGCTTCGAATGAACATCTTTTACAAGAATGTCATCTATTAAAATGCTCTAAGGGAGGAAAGGCAAGAATTAATACCTCAGTACTGAAAACCCTTCCATCTTCCTCCTCTCATCAGTGTGCTGTATCTCTAATTTTACAGTGGCACAAAGAAAGAATCAAGACTGAGGCCATTATTGATTCTTGAGCTACAGGGGTGTTCATAGATTCTTTATTTGTGGAAAACAATTAAATACCTTGTGTGCAAAAAACATCATTTATACCCTCTGGTCCCATAAAAAATGAAACTATTCCTATTTTGACAACTATCAACCATAACCATTCAGAATTTCTCGTTTTTGATGTTGTGAAATCCCCCCTTTTTCCAATCATCTTGGGTATCAACTGGTTACAAACTCATGATCCCCTCATCCGTTGGGCTCCCTTCTCTCTCTCCTTTGAGTCCGATTACTGTAAGGATAATTGTCTTCCACAGATTCCTATACTTCAATTAAGTCAAGAAAATTTAATACCTGAACAATATTCGGACTTTTCTGATGTTTTTAGTAAAAAAGAAGCTGAATCTCTTCCTCCTCATCGGATTTATGATTGTCCTATTGATCTCATTCCTGGTGCTCCCATCCCCTATGGTCACATATACCCTCTTTCTGAGAAGGAATTAAGGAGTACCTTGAAGAAAACCTCCGTAAAGGATTCATACGTCCTTCTACCTCTCCTGCTGCTTCCGGGATCTTCTTCGTAAGGAATAAAGATCAAACTACACGTCCTATAATTGACTACCGTGCATTAAATAAAATAACTGTTAAAAACCGTTACCCTTTACCTTTGATTCCTGAACTTATTGAAAGATTAAAAACGGCAACTATCTTTTTTTAATGTCTTAAGTTTTTTATTGATATGTTTTCGTTTGCTTCATAATCAACAGTTAGAGAAGATAACATAGAAAAGGGGGGGTACAGAAAATAAAAGGGAAGGGGAAACGGGTAACATATAGATCTTTACAAGATTTTTGATATTGCAGGTCAAGGATTGCATTACAGATTCAAAATACAGAAACAAGGTACAAATTTCACACATGGGATACAAGATACGAATAGTACATGTATATTAGCATATATTTGCGTAGGAGATGGGCAGTGCATGATAGGTATTGTAACCCTTCGATGAGGTCTGGGTTATGGTGGGTTGTTATATGGTTAGTTTCATTTCACATCAACAAGTGCCACCAGTGTCAAACCAGTAGGTGGGAGCGTATCTGCTGCATCGAGGGTCCGCAGTCAGGCCAACCAAACGTGGTATCCGAGGCCTAACTAGTACGGCCCAACAACACGGCAAGACACGCCTCCAGATCAAATGCTTTCATGTGGTATGTGAGTTATTCACCGTTCATGTGCCCAGGATGCCAACTGCCCCTTCATCTGGCCTGTTTTATATAATAGACTACTGCCCACACGAGTAGACAGTTGAGTGAGGTTATGTAGGTGAGCATGGGGAACTACGATATGGTGCGGGTCTTATCGAGGTCTTAAAGGGGTATTAGAGTTAGTCTCTAGCTCTCTGGTTGGTCTCTAAACTGGGTCCAGCGTTGCCAGTGCTTGGTAAAGATATGTTCTTTACCTCGAAGGCGACTGGCCATTCGTTCAAAATTGCATGTTGTGTCGAGACGTGTTAGGATTTCTGTTAATTTCGGGCTTTGCTGTTGTTTCCATCTATATGCTATTGCTATTTTGGCAGCAAGTAGACAATGAGTGAGTATGTGTACTTCATTTTCCCTTGGTGAATGTGGAAAAATGTGAAGCAGGTAGCATTCTGGGGATTTTGGCATTGTTATTTTCATCTCTTCTAAGAGGAACTGTTCTATTGCATTCCAGAATGCACTTAGTTTTGGGCATGACCAAAATATATGGACAAGTGTGCCTTTATTGTTAAGGCATCTCCAGCACATGGGGGACGCAGTGGGGTAGATATGCCCTAGGCGCGAAGGTACCATATACCATCTCATTATTATTTTACAAAACGCTTCTCTGTGAGCCAGGCTATATGTGGATTTCTTCAGCCTACCCAGAGCTTTCCGCCACATCTCTTGGCTAATTTGTGTATTGAGATCCTTTTCCCATGCGCTCATATAGGAGGGGATTTCTTTATCTACTGTGAACATGAGTGATGTGTAACATAAGGATAGTGCTTTTATGTTCTTTAGTTTTCCTTGGCATTTAAGGAGGAATCGTGGTGGTGGGAACTGTCTGTCACTATGTAGTTTGTGTTCGTGTAGGATGTTTTTAATGCGTAGGTATGTAAATAATTCCCTATGTGGGAGGCTGAACGTTTGTTGTAGTGTTGGGAAGGATGTCACTCCCGCATCATCGATCAGGGAGCTCACATGGAGAATGCCCTGTCGAACCCAAGTATCGAGGCAAAGGTCCTGTGTGTGGAGTGTTAGCGATTGTAAAGGTGCGGCGAACAGGAGGTCTCTACCTATTTCCATTTTTAAGATCGACTGTCTCCATATACGGAGCAGTAGTTTCGTCGGAGGTAGGATATTAGTGTCCCGTGCCTGCCGGTCCGTGCATGCCCAAAGGGCATCCACTACCGTTCCCTGCGCCATGCAGGCATTTTCTAGTGCCAGCCATATGGGTGAAGCCCTACCTTCCATGACCGTGAGGCCCTGTGCCAGTATTGATGCTTTGTAATAAAGCTGGACATTGGGTACGCTAAGACCTCCTTCCGAAAGGGGTCTCCAGATCAGTTTATTTGAGATTCTGGGAGGTTTTCTTTTCCAGATATATGCGTTTATGATCGTTTGGAATCTTTTCACTATCGCGTTTGGGATCTCTACCGGCAGTGTGCGGAAGAGGTATAAGATGTGTGGCAAGATCATCATCTTAACCGTATTGATGCGCCCTAGCCATGAGAGACCTTTATCATCCCATTGTGTGAGTTGGAGGTCTAGTTTTTGCAGAAGCGGGATGTGATTTACTTTAGTTATTAGTGTGGATGTGGCCGGTAATTGGATACCGAGGTACGAGATTGAGGTTTTACGCCAATCGAATGGATAAACAGACTTGAGAGTTTGTAATGTGTGGTGTGGCAAACGGATTGCTAATGCTTGTGATTTTTTTGCATTGTTTTTGTAGTATGACACCTTGCCATATCTATTCAGAAGCGCCATTAGGTTTGGGAGGGAGTTGGGGGGATCAGTGATGAAGAGCAGGATGTCATCCGCAAATAAAGCAATTTTCATTGTTCCTATCGGTGTGTGTAAGCCCTGAACCGTGTCTAGTGATTTGATATGTTTAATCAGTGGTTCCAGGCAGAGGATAAATATCAGCGGAGAGAGAGGGCAGCCTTGCCTGGTTCCATTGGTTATTGGGAATGGCTTGGAGAGAAAGCCGGTGTTATATACCTTAGCCGAGGGGTTAGAATATAGGGCCAATATGCTTTTTTGAAACAGGTGGGGAAATCCCATTTTGGTCATTACTGCTGACATATAGGACCAATTTAGGCGATCAAAGGCCTTTTCAGCATCGAGTGCTAGTAGTATGCCCTGTTGTTGGGTTGTTTGTGCCCATTGAATTAGGTTTAGGAAATGGCGTGTGTTGTCTCCTGGTTGTCTTGTAGGGACAAACCCAGCTTGTTCCTGTGAGACCATGTCTAGAAGTAGCGGCTTTATGCGGGTGGCCAGTAGTTTTGCGTACAATTTGGTGTCAGCATTTAATAAAGAGATTGGTCTCAAGTTAGCGCATTCTGTTGGGGGCTTCCCCGGTTTAGGGAGGGTTATTACATGTGCAAGGAGCATTTCGGACGGGATAATCCCCGTGTCTTTGATATGGTTAAATAATTTGGTAAGATGCGGTGTTAGTTGTGTGATTAGTGACTTGTAAAGGGAGTTTGGGAAACCATCTGGGCCGGGTGCTTTATGTTTGGGTAGTAAACTGATGGTCCTGTGTACTTCCTCCTCTGTGAATGGTGTTTGAAGGTATGTTTTTTGAGCGTCTGTGAGGAGGGGTAGATCTACACTGTTGAGAAAGTCTAGAATTTCGTCCTTGGAAGGCTGATGTGTATCTTTTGCTCTGTAAAGATTATAAAGTGTGTCGTAGTAAGAGGCTAGTTCCTCCACGATATCTTGGGGGTTGTATAGCTTATGGTTGGTTGCTGAGGTCATGTATGGTAGTTTAGACTGCAGGTGACGTGTTTTTAGGCGACGAGCCAGTTGTTTGCCCGCTTTATTACCCTGCATGTAATGGGATAAGTTGAGTTTGCGCATTTGCCTTTCCATATCGTGTAGGGCCAGTGCGTGTAGTTCCGTGTTTATTTTGTTTATTCTTTTAGTTAGTTTATTGGATGGGTTAAGTTTGTTTTTAGCCTCCGTCAGTGCAAGATCCTCTAGCAGGCGGTGTTTGCTCTGATTGCCCTTTCTTTTACGATTTGCTCCTGCTTGTATAAAAAGGCCTCTAAGTACCGCTTTAAGGGCTAGCCATTGTGTAGGGATAGAAGTCTCGTCAGTTGCATGGTCTTGGTAGAACAGTGTGATCGTAGTAGCTAGTTTGGTAAGTAAGTCTGCCTCATTTAGTAGGGAGTCGTTAAGTCTCCATAGGCTCCTGCCTCTCGCTGGGTATAGAGTTTTGAAGGTGGTGATGACCGGGGCATGGTCTGACCATGTCCTGTTTCCAATCTCTACCTCCGCTACATTTTGTAGTGTCATAGCATCTACCAAAAAAAAAAAAAACCGGCAACTATCTTCACCAAACTTGACCTCAGAGGGGCTTACAACCTAATTAGGATAAAGGAAGATGATGAATGGAAAATGGCTTTCCGTACTAGATATGGCCTCTTTGAATATCTTGTCATGCCATTTGGACTCTGTAATGCTCCTGCTACTTTCCAACACTTCATCAATGATATTTTCAGAGACCTCTTAGACACTTGTGTCATTATTTATCTAGATGATATTTTAATTTATTCTGATCACCTTAAAGATCATAGGAAGCATGTACGCTGTGTACTATCCCATTTAAGAATTAACAAACTCTATGCTAAACCTGAAAAATGTTTATTCAAAGTTAAAGAACTCAACTTTCTTGGCTATGTTATTTCACCTCATTCAATAAGAATACAATTTACTTCTATTTCTAAAGGTTTACTTATTAATGAAATTTTACTTGCTTGCTATAACCTGCATTCACTAAAATATTATTGCAATCATTAAAGCCTTTCCTTTTCCAATAACTGCCTGCAAACTCCACCTTGCTTTAAAGCTAATGTAATTAATGAGTTTTACAAGCTGCAGTTGAGTTCCAAATTCAAAACCTCTTGTGACATAACATTCTATCTGATTTCAGGCATCGATTGGGATAACCTTTTTCCTTGAATTGTTGTCGCAGGATGTCAGCTTGGATTTTAAATTCCTGAATAGTGCTGCAATTCCTGCATGCCCTTAGGTATTGGCCTATGGGTATACCTTGTTTCAAGGGCTAAGGGTGGAAACTATCTCAGGTCAAGAGGCTGTTAGATGCTGTAGGCTTTTTAAAAAGTGTGGTCTGAATGGACTTTTGACTGTCAATTGAGATTGTCAAATCTAGAAAGTTAAGAGATTTCCCACCAAATTCTGCAGTGAACCTTAAGTTGACCATTTTTGTAATTATTTAATTTTCTTTTTTTTGGGGGGGGGAGGTGGGGATCTACTGAGTATCTCCATACTACCCTGACAATTTTTAAACCACTCATTTCAAAGATACTACGTTAATATTCCTTATTTTTCCCACTCTTATTGATATACACCTGTAGCAATCAGATATTCTTTGGAGTCATCTATTGTAGTAGGGTATCCTCTATTTTCCAGAGTCACACCTCAATAATATCGGCTACTGATACACTGTTGCAGTAAAAGATATTAGCAACAGTTTACAATTACATCGTCACTATTTCAACATTTAGCCGACATGGTGTGCCATGTATACAGTTAGTAGAATAGCTGTAGGTCTTTATTTCTTTTAACTACTTTTTTTGTATGTTTTCACTTAAAATATATATATACATCCTTTTTCACCATAAGCTATTTAACCCTTCAGAGGGATCAATAAAGATTTATTATTTTGTATAGATACGTCCTATACTCTAGGACTGACACCCTGTAGCCATACATTAGTGGAGTAACTGACTAGGACCACATATAGGCTACCTTAGGTACTACAGGATTACAATATCTATTGCAGATTTATGGATGTTCCCTTGTAATTTAATCTTTCTTTCCCCAAGAGGGACCAATTATAATGTTATGCTTATTACTTGTAGTTCCAATAATGCTCTCTAACTAGCAACTTATTGCTTTATATTGGTGGAGCAGTTTACATCTAGGGTATAGAGACTGGACTTGGGAGCATTTGTTAAGTTAACCCGTTCCAGTCTCTTCTTTATTTGCTATTTCTATCTATATCTATTCCTTTCTATCTCTCTCTCTCTCTCTCTATTTCTTTCTATCTATTTATATATTTTTCTTTCTATTTCTTTCTATCTATTTCTTTCTATTTTTCTATATCTATCTAGCTATCTCTTTCTTTCTATCTATTTCTTTCTATCTATCTTTTTCTTTCTATCTTTATCTATTTCTATCTATTTCTTTCTACCTCTTTCTATCTATCTATTTCGTTCTATTTATCTATCTATCTATTTCTCTCTATTTCTTTCTATCTATCTATTTCGTTCTACCTCTTTCTATCTATTTCTTTCTATATCTATTTCTATCTATCTATATCTATTTCTTTCTTTCTTTCTTTCTTTCTTTCTTTCTTTCTATCTCTCTCTCTCTTTCTATCTATCTATATCTATCTATTTTTATATATATATATATATATATATATATATATATATATATATATATATATATATATATATATATATATATATTTCTATCTATCTATCTATCTCTTTCTATCTATATATCTATCTCTTTCCATCTATCTATCTCTTTTTATCTCTATCTCTTTCTATCTATCTCTACCTCTCTATCTATCTCTCACTCCCACTCTCTCACTCCCACATAATATAATATGGAATTGCAAACAGTTTCATTGCGTGAGAAATTTAACATCTGATAAGTTTGTAAAGAATGCATTTATAAAATTCAATTTTTTTTTAGTCACCCACCCCCAGTCACTCACTCACACTCAATCACCAACCCACACTCACAATCACTCACCTGCCCACACTCACAATCACTTACTCGCCAGCCCACAATCACTCACTAACCCACACTCAGTCACCCACTGTCACGTATTCATCTGCTTATAGAAATGTGGTTAATGGCATTTACTGTCCACACAGGAAAAGTTGTGCCGAGCAGCAACCTAATCCACAGAAGGGTTAATGCTGAGCAGCAATTATGCAAATGAAACCTGGTAACTGACTTTGGGGTCAAAGGCCGGTTACAGCCTATCAGAACTAAAGGAGGGGTATTTAGGCCCAGTTCTCAGCCTGCTCAGTGCCCCGTCGTGGTTTCCCTTGTGGTTGTCTGAGAGCGCGTTCCTGTTTATAGTTTTCTACCCGGTTTTTGACTTTGGCTTTGTTTATTGACTTCTCTATATTCTGGTATCCTGACTCCTGGCTTTCCTCATCGCTGTGTCCCTTTCTGTGTTCCCTGACCTCGGCTAGTATTTTTGACTATTCTTTGTACGTTAAATCCGGCCATTCTAAGGACCGGTAATACGTTACTTATTTGTCATCCGTGCTGTATAGTTCTACGTGCTGGATCAAACAGTAATCCTGACACCCACCCACACTCAGTCATTTTTCATTTTGCTATATATATAGAACACAGATAGTATATACACACACACACATTGTATATATATATATATATATATATATATATAATGGTGGAAAATTTTTCATACTTACCGTAATTTTCATTTCCTGATAATTCATGGCAGCATTTACTCATGGGCTAGCTCCTCCCCTTACAGCAGAAAGGACAGGAAATAGAACTTTGAAACTGGCATAAATAGATCCTCTCCCTTCCCATCAGGCAGTCTTTGTAACTAGCTTCACAACTCCTATAGTATATGGGTGGGAAGGTAATACTGCCATGAATAATTATCAGGAAAAGAAAATTACGGTAAGTATGAAACAATTTTCCATTTTCCTGACCATTATTCATGGCAGCATTTACTCATGGGGAATACCCAAGCAGTATATATAGAGACCCTGTAAAACATATCAGTCAAATGTTTGTCATCAACAAGCTGCATTACATATATATTATGCAGGATGAATATACCATTTAAAGCCACACATTGGTTGCAAATTCCAGATATAAGGACACCTAGAAGAATCCCCGTGAATATCAGAAGATAGGTCCGTAATAGAACTATCTGTTTAGGGATTTCCTCTATTGTTCAGGCAGCAGGTGAATTTTACCTGAAATAGTAAACCTGGTAGAATGGTCTGGGGACTGGAAAGACCTTAAAATACTTGCAATACACAGCATCAAAAGTTATCTGGAACATATGAGCCTAAAAGAATACCTTTATTGCAGAAAGGAAATTATAATGTTCCCCTTCACAACAGGGGAATCTGTCGGAAGTTTCTGATCATTAAAGCGGCACTGTCATGCCGAATCCTGGGGGTTTTTTTTAACCCCCCTCCGGCCTCCACTACATCTAACTAACACCCTAGTCACCCCCAAATGCCCCTAAGCCCCCCACATTACCTATTTTTTATTCCTTATTTTCTGCCCCGATCTTTATTCAGGGCGCCGCCATCTTTGTGTGGGTAGATGAAGTCCTTGTGGGACACTTCATCTGCCCACACTAGACAGACTGTGAGATTCCTGCACATGCCCAGTGAAACACCTGGACATGCGAACGGGAATTTCATCCATTCACTCATTCATCAGACAGACGAATGAATGAATAGAAAGATCAGCCGAACAAACAAACACTATGTATCAGTGTTCGTTTGTTTGTGCAGTTTATTACAAGGAGGGAGCTACCGGCACTCTCTTTGTAATATGTAACTATA